AAAGACATCAAAAGACATAGGACATGACTGAATAACATCAATTTGTACATATAAGATGACTCTTGGTCTAAGTCCTTAATTTTTAAAGACCATGCTTTGCTGTTCATCTTATATAAAAGTCTACACAATGCTTCTCAGTCATCACAAAACAGTATACATAATTATTGTCATCACATGTCTCTATGCATAATCCCTTTTCCTGCTCATATAAGTAATTACTGTAATCCCTTTAACCACAAAAACAGGAAAAAAAAATGCAAAATAATATTCTACAAATGCACTATTGCCAAGATCTGAAATGCAATAGTATTACGAGAACATAGTTACTCTTATCAGCGAAAGGTCAGACCTACACCAACACACAATTTTCCACTTAGCAGAATTATCTCAATGAGGGTAAATCACGGGCTAAAATATGCATGACATTAAGGTCTTACTGCTACTCATCCCAGCTGTGTCTCTCTCTTTTATGAGCGAGTGTAAAGGATTTTTGAGTCTGTACCGCGATCGTACTTCATAATCATATATGATGATTAATATAAAAAAAGGAGTTTCATCTTAAGCATGGACACAGTATATAATTTTTCTCTGAAAACTGACATCCCATTAAAGGCAAATCCTCTCTCTAATTTACTGGTACTTCCTAAAATGACAAAATAATACACATCTATGCAATAAGTATGAACATAATTACAATATCATACATTACAATACATATATACATTCATCTAAATAAAACTGGTCAGCTACTATAACTTTCAAAACATCAAATTAAAACAACCATATAAAGTTATATATATAAAATATATATATTATGAACACCTACTTACTTCACTAGACATACTTAACTAATATTGTACAGTAAGTAAATAAATTCTAAAAATATTCAGTCACTACACCCATACCTTGTACTTGGAGGTGGCATCCACACCATGAGGCTGCCCCAGCACAATCCAAGGGTGATTGAGGAGCTGTGTGATTGTGATTCGTCTCTTGGGATCCACCTGGAGCATGGTGCCCAGGAAGTCACGACTGCCTGCACTCAACCACTCTGGTTTCTCGTACACACCAGCCTAAGAGAGGAAAGGGCAGAGGGTGATGATAAATTGGTTATAGAATGGTTTCTTTGGGACAACTTTAATACACCTACCAGGAGTCATATAAAAACCATCTATTACTAATCTGTGCAATGTCTTATAATCTGATCATCTCATATATGTTTTTTAAAATTGACAAATGTACCTGAATTTTTCTGTAAAGAGCACCCAAGTTCTCATCATCAAAGGGGAGAAAACCACAGAGAAGAGCATACAACAGGACCCCCATACTCCAAATATCTGCTTCAGAACCTGTAACAAGAATTGGAAATTTATGTACAATCTCACAAATTGTAGATCACTTTCCAAACACTAACATCATGGCAATGTATATACATGAAAAATAAATAAAGCATATGGATATTGCACAAAATAATCACACAATAATCTTTTCATCTAGTTTACAGTAAAAGGATTTTTTTAAGCAGGGAATATATAACAGTACATAATCTTTAGGATCAGCATGTAATACTGATTTTTTAAAAATCATATCTTAAATCATTCCTTTCTGTAATACTTACTTATACACTCTCAGATCCTACTGTGTCAGTATTACAGCAACCCACAATACACAATTAGCCACTTAGCTCAATAACATACAGTTTACTTTCTTACTGTGACATTGCTTCATTTTGTTAAACACACTTTAACCTGTCACTAAGCTAGAGGCAGTAAGAATGACCACATACCAAGGTACTGATGACCTGATACCAGCTCTGGTGCTGCATAAGCTGGAGAACCACAACAGGTTGCCAGTCTTTGGTCCATGCCACCAGCAGGATTGGCACACAACCCAAAGTCAATTAGTTTTAACTGCTGGTCATCATCCAGCAATAGGTTTTCCTGCAAGAAAAGGGTTTAGATACAGTGTGTTTAAGTGCTTTTGCATATTAAGAAATTAATTTTTATGTATAACAATTCAGAAAATCTAGTAGTTACTTCCACAATTTAAAAATCAAGAGTTTAGATAATAAAACATTTATGCTTTGATATATATGTTGACTGCATCATTAGATGAAATAAAATGAGGTATTGCTCCAATCTAACATTGTAATATAAAAACACACAATCTGCCTACATTCTGTGCAAAAAGAGAAAGCACAATGTCTATAGAATACTTACAGGCTTCAGATCTCTGTGTGCATACCCCATGGTATGAATGTAAGCAACAGCTGATGCAATTTGTCTGAAAAATAGCCTAGCCTCTTCCTCCTCCAGTCTGTCTCTCTCCACTGAAATAAAAGCAAAAGTAAACATGCGAGATACATCACCCAAGAGGAAATACAAAACCAAAACCATGGTTACTTCCCCAGTGACAACCAAACCAAATACTACAGATGTAATGCTTGTATGTCAATGTCAAAATACACCCTTGACACTTACCTATGTAATCAAACAGCTCTCCACCTGGACAGTATTCTAGCACCATAAATATTTTTGTTTCCGTCTCTAGCACCTGGTAAAGCTTACACACATGCTGGTGGCTCAGCTGTTTCATGGCCTCGATCTCTAGGTAAATGCGAGGAAGATCGTCCTGTAAAAGGAAGAGCTTGCTAAAACTGGGAGCATTACCAAAGGGTAGTTTTAGCTTTGCATAGATTGTGATTAGCAACTAATCATCATCTAAGTTACTGTAGAGAGAGAGAGATATACACTGTATGATATATAGCAAAATATAGAAAGAAATCTAGAAATATATAAGTGTTATAGCTTCTATAATCCAACAATGCTTATAAGTATACTAAACAAAGCATAACATTAAACAGGTCACAACCTTAATACATGAAAAGACTAAACACACAACAAAACCTTCCATACCCTAAACTTCCTCCTCCTTTCCCTCACACCATCCACAAAGAAACTGAACAAGGACACAAAACCATCCGTACCCCAAGTTGCCGTTTGTCCATGATCTTGATGGCCACCTTCTCCCCGCTGAGGATGTGTGTCGCCACCTTCACCTTGGCGAACCCTCCCGATCCTATGGTCTCGTGGAGCTCATACTGCCCCTCCAGGATCGCGTAGGGGGACACCTGCTGAGGCATGACTGTCTATTTTTTTGCTTTTTTGTTTTTCGGAAGCCTCGCCCCTCTCCGTTGCTCGTCTTTGGAACCTGAAGTCCCTTGTCTTGCCGGAATTTTTCTTCGAGGGCTCTCTTCTTTGATTTTAGTTCTGGAGAGAGAAAGAGAGAAACATGTATAAATGGTATACCATGTAGGCCTATCACTTGCAATAACAGAATCATAAATCTCAAAATGTTTTCCTATTAATAAGACCAATTACATGTCAATCAACAAAACTCATCCACCAAAAGCATCACAAATTTCTTGAAAGAGAAAATGCAGCACACTAATAAAACACAGCAAAAACTATATAAAAATAAAAATAAATAAATAAATAAATGAATAAAATAAAAATAAATAAACAATTAAAATACTGCAGCCCTTATCATCCCACAAAGCAAGTAAATAACACCCATCAAACATTCCCTATCAATTCTCCGACGAAGATTAATTACTGACTCCTCCCCTCCTCCTTCCATAATTATTCAATTAATGGCACGACAATCTAACGACCTTCCTCCCTTAACGTACACAAGGGAACACACCCTGACACAGATATTAAATCGGTATGCCAATCATTTCCTAATCAATTAAACTTCATACACAAATCACATAAAACAAAAAGAGATAATGTTGTCATATGTTAATACATTAAGCACTTTGCGAGATGTAAATCAAGACATTTTCGGTTAATGTCTCACAAGTAATTAAACGACAATTAGCCCAAATTTTATCCAGAATAGAAGTCAATTAAAGGCATGTAATAATAACCATAAATAAAACGACTCTAAATACACTTTCAACAATAACACGAGGGCAAATATAACAACAAATATCACCGCATTTATATCTCCATCACAAACACAATTAAATACTAATTAATCATAAGCATTACTTCATTACAAACACAAACACACTCCATAAATTTTTAAAATATATATACAAACCAGCCCAAAAACACTAAATAAACAGCTGAATTCCTCCCTGCTTGAAGTCCAAACACCACGACCGTTTGTGTGAAAGTGGGAATGAATAATAATTAAGAAAACAGGACAAAAGGAGAATAAATGAAGGACGATTCCATTTAAATTTTTCGCCAATGAGGTCGCTTCACTTGGATATCTTGGAACTTTTGAGGTATGGAGAGGTAAAGGAGCGAAGAAGATAGAGAAGAGTTAATCATCTGTGGTAAGGAGTGATGGAAGAGAGAAAAGGAAGGATAAAAAAGGTGGAAAGGAGGGAAGAGGATAATTGTTTTATGGTTTAAATCCGTCGTCTCCAGGTAACTTTGTTTTGGGGTCATTTTACGCCCCGTTCTCTCCTCTTTTCCTTATCTACGTCTGTTCTACGTGCTTCTCGGTTTGTATTCTCGCTCTTGGATGAGTCTCCTGCCATAATTTTGCCTTAAAACCTATCAAAATAAGAGAAAATAGTTGAGCCTTACCAGTCTCCCTTGAATGAGGTTCGAGTTCCGTCTCGGCCAATCAGCGCCTTAGGAGAGAACGGGGCGTAAAATGACCCCAAAACAAATAGTTTGCCTTAAAACCTATCAAAATAAGAGAAAATAGTTGAGCCTTACCAGTCTCCCTTGAATGAGGTTCGAGTTCCGTCTCGGCCAATCAGCGTCGAGATCGCTGTGATGTCACTAACACGACCAATCACCAGCATGGTTGTTATGACGTCATGACTTCCACCAATCAATTTTGAGCGTTTCGTGACGTAATGACTCTGACCAATCAGCTTTGAGAATTTGATGACGTCATTTAATGAAGCTCAATATGCGCACGAAAAAGCAGACGATATCCTTATTTCACCAAGAATTCCCCCGATCCTACACCCAAAACCCTTTTGCGATCCCCAGGTGAGATCGGAGCGAAATTCCCCACCTCCGAGACCTCAAGCGAAGAATTAAAACCACGAAACTCTCAGTCGAGCAATCAGCTGATGGCGGGGAGGGAGAGAGAGTGACATTTTCCTCTCGAAAAAAATTCCTCTCCACAAAATGGTCATCGAAATGATCCTCGCCGCGTTTTTAGGCTGTTACGTCGTCTCCTCCTTGATCCTCTTCAAGTTCCCGATGCTCTTGCACAAGAAGAAGGACGTGAAATTCGTGTGTAGGCATATAAGCCACAGAGGAGGTAAGGATGGGGGATTTTTTCGGTATTTTTTGGCATCTGCAATGCGGTATTTTGATATATTTATGATTTTTTCTCTCGCTTCTGTGCATATTATTTCCCACGCGTATGTCGGTGCTTATTTTAGTTCATTTGAAAACTGGGGAGAAAGGGGTAAATAGAATGTTTTTAATGGATTTATAATGCCGCATGACAGATCATGCTCATGTATCATATATCTTGACTATCGTATTGACGTTATTTATTGAAATTATTATGTTTTTATTTGTGGTAAGGACGGATTGAGAGTCAGTGGGTGATTAGAAAGACTCTAAATGATTTGCAATGATTTTTTGAGATTGTATGAGAGCATATATAGTAAGGTATAGGACTATCTATAGGTTATCATTTTTTGTTTTGATTATATCCTGTTGATTATCACAAGTTCTCTCGTTTCCTCTTGCTCTACGTGTAGTTGTTAACCATTCAAGAGTCAGGAGCTTGTAAAAAGAAGTTTAAATATAGGATTTTTAATTATCCACAGTATTTCTTTTATGATCTGTGAGCTCGTCTTGTTATTATCTTGCTAGTTATATCATCGTCATTTGTTATGCACTTACCTCATTATTAATTCACTGCTTCTATGTTTATATGGCAACAGTCCTTACCATTATTTTCTAATTTTTTGGTAAAGGTGTGTGGTGTGATTGATGTTTTAGAACAAACGCTACAAAATTGTTTCACTTTTGTATTAGTTTTTGCTGTAATCACATTTAGTTAAAGAAGTGTAAGATATGTTTCTGTAGATAAATGAATATATGTTTATACATATATATATATATATATATATATATATATATATATATATATATATATATATATATATATATATATATATATATATATATATATTATATATATATATATTATATATATATATATATATATATATATATATATATATATTTATATATATATATATATATATATATATATATATATATATATATATATATTATATATATATATATATATATATATATATATATATATATATTATATATATATATATATATATATATATATATATATATATATATATATATATATATATATATATATATATATATATAATATATATATATATATATATATATATATATATATATATATTATATATATATATATATATATATATATATATATATATATATATATATATATATATATATATATTTATATATATATATATATATATATATATATATATATATATATATATATATATATATATATTATATATATATATATATATATATATATATATATATATATATATATATAATATATATATATATATATATATATATATATATATATATATATATATATATATATATATATATATATATATATATATATATATATATATATATATATATATATATATATATATATAATATATAATATATATATATATTATTTATATGTACATATATATATATATGTATATATATATATATATATATATATATATATATATATATATATATATATATATATATATATATATATATATATATATATTATATATATATATATATATATATTATATATATATATATATTTATATATATATATATATATATATATATTATATATATATATATATATATATATATATATATATATATATATATATATATATATATATATATATATATATATATATATATATATATATATATATATATATATATATATATATATATATATATATATATATGTATATATATATTTATTATTTATATTATATATTTATATATATATTTATATATAATATATATATTATTTTATATATATA